AATGTTAACCTTTTTCCTTGTGTATATTGGTAAAATACCATTTAAGTGGGAAGGTACAGGACAATTATAAAAGAGAATTTAATATTTCAAAAACTGTCTAATATTGTTGTAAGTAATTTGTGATATAAGTTGTTTTTAACAGTAAGGGGTTTTTTGATTCAGGTAATATTACAGAAAAGAAGGTAAAATTTTTTTGATAATGAATGCCTTTTTTCTGACCCATGCTAACAGCTGTTGCTACAAGCTTATTTGATAACATGAACACATGAGAAGTGATGAAACTATTAGTACTCACATTTAAAGATTTTGTGGGTTAGCGCGGTAGTGCATCAGACCCCTCAAATGTATAGTATCTATGTGAAAAAAACCAGAAAAAAACAACTAAAACAAACAATAAGGAAATGATCAATTTAAAACTTCATGTTTTCACTTTTTTCTGCTTTTAAAGTAATTAAGGATAAATAAATCACTTTACAATTTTGGTTTTAAATATAAACATCTAATACGATATTTAAAAATATTATTTAAAACAAGTTAATCTGAATCATAAGGAAAGCAAATAATACTCTTGGATATTCCCTACACGCACCACAATCAATTCGCACAACCTTACTTTGAAAATGCGCGCCAAAACGCAACAGCTGCGCTATCTGCACCAGGTCCAGGAGTGAGGAAACAAACTTAGACCCCGCCTTTTAACATTGAGTGAACCGGCCCTGCCCGGGACGACTTGCTTAGCTTGTTAGAGAAAGCAGAGAGAGAAAGTTTCTGTCTTAGCATGTCTTAGCTTTGTCAACATCAGAATGTGTAATTGTTCACTTGTAATCTGACTGTGATAGTGATGGAAGAGATTAATATTTTATCGGAAAGCGTTATTAAAATAGAACCGGTAAATATTAAAACAGAAGCGGTAAGTCTCATTATTCAGCGTTATGTGTTATTACACCAAGTCGATGAAGCTCAAACTCAGTTGTATGCTCTAAGTGCAGTGTATGACAATGGTATGCAAACTTCTTAGTGTTTTTCTGTTACCTCTAGATTAAAGAAGAACCAATTGATGTGGATGAAGATAATTGCTGGAATGCTTTCGTGAGTAATATTCGCATTAGTGGCATTATGTAGTCAGTGTTTTATGGTAAATGGAAATTAATTGCTGATTTGACATATTGGGGTTTAGAAGAAGTAGCCACTGTTATGAAAGTGCAGATTTTTCAGCATTGAAGAGTGCTGAGAGAGTGTGTTAGATTTCAATGCTCAAGTACCCAAGTTAAATTCCTGATTGGAACAGGAGAAAATTAAAGGTTCCACAGAAATGTCTTAATTTGTTGTGCCAAAAGGAGAACTGTGAATTTTAAGGTGAATCTGCTTAAATGGTGTTAATGCTTTTGGAAGGCGATTCTGGAGCGCCTTTTTTAATTAATAGCTTGGTAAGGAAACCAGGTACTATTACCAGGTCCTGTACTATGTACCTTACTGCATGTAAGTTATCTTCAAAATAATACTGTTCTTGGGTGTGGAGTCTAAAAGAAAGAGGTATTAACATCACTGGAGAGATGTAACATCATTTGCATTTGAATGCACCATTAACCATCTCGAAAGTGAAAAATTCATTTGATTTAAAATTTCAAGATTTTGAATGGGAAGTTTTGATTTTTGCTGTATGAAATTCAACTGCATTCATCTGTATATTATAAAGCAGCTAGTAGAGAAAATATTCTTCAGTGTTTTGCTTTTAGTGAATTTTCATATAGCAGTTCTGTGATTCGAATGATATTTGTAAAATCTTCTACTGCAAAGAATCTTCCTTTGCTAATATCCTCAATTTATTTTCACATTCAGCCTTATTTTACAGATCCCTCACAATAGCACTTTCGAATGAAATGTAGTATATGGTACAACCTAAGGAAGTCATTAAAACCGGCACTTCATGCCATTCTGGCATTAATTAGGCAGTTTGAATTCTGGGGGCTTTCTTAAAAAGTGGTGTCTTATAAAAGTGAATTGGTAATTATGTGTTGGATAGACTCAAGGATGTTTATTGTGAACGTTAGGGTCGAAGGCCCGAGCCTCGCCCTGACTTGGATCCGAGCAAGCGAGGCGAGAAAACTTGCCTTTGAAAGTAAAATGGCATTACAGTGCGGAAGGGAAAAAACATATGAAGGGCGAACCATGAAATTTGCCTATCTGTAAGTTTTATTCATTTCTATTATAGCACGTACAGTAATTAGGGCTTAAGCCCTGCCACCACGCTTCTCTAAGAGTGTACCATATACTAAACTTGAACACATTATTTTATTAACTGAAGTGGAATGTTGCCTGTAGAAATAATATTTACAATTTATTAATTTCCGATAACATTTGAAACCAAAAGTGTCAGAATTGAAAACGGATAACGCAGTGGCATGCTGAGACCTTACATAATTCATAACGTTGTTTTGTAGGGCTGTATTTAGAGCATTGCTAATATATAGGTTTCTCTATATATTAGCTATACTAAATTTTAACCGCACTTTCTAACACAAATTGGGTACCCAAATAATTTAAGATTATTAAAATTCTTTTGAAAAAAATAAAAAAGGAGATGCCAATCCTTCGTTAAGTTGTTGAGTCCATCAGTACTGGTCCAAAAACTTTTAACAATATATATGCTTAGTATTCCTAACCAATATAATATTGTAATATTTTCACAATTTAGTATAAATGAATGAAATATAAAGTTATATTAATTTTATTTTTAGTAAAGAAAGAATATTTAAGATTATTTTGGTTATATTGCTTGTAAATTCTAATTAAATAATTTATTTTATTTTAATGAATTATAATGTAGTTGAAAAATATTAATCATTGAAAATAATCTCATCAGCATTTTGTGTAAGTATCAAGTTACAAGGTATAAAAACAATTAATTTGTATTTATGATTTTGGTCAGTTTGTCTGAAGTTATAATGAAATAGATTTTAATAGATGGATCCTGAAACTTTGTATTTTGGAAGAGATAACATGTGCCAATTTTAAAAAAATATTGTATTATCTATTATTTAAAGAACGAGGTTTGTTTGTTTTTGTTTGCTAAACTATAGTTTTGTTCTGACCTTAAGCCTTAAGTGCTGACAATGGTCTCTCAGACCCTATGTCTATTTCTTTTTGCTGATTTGTCTATACTGGTTATGTTGCAACATCAGTGGCTGAACTAAGCATCATTCATTGACGTGATAACCTTTCTGTGTAATTTTTCCAAGAAGGCCTTGAAAACCTGTGTTACTGTAAACATAAAAATTATTTTTGTCCAAACTTTGGGAAGTTCTTTTTCGAAGTAAGATGTTGTTTTCTCACGTTTTTCAGTTAATATTTCATTCTCATAGAAAGAATGTGTTATGTATGTTTATTTGATTTTTTTAGTGTAGTTGAAAATGTCAGAAGAAAACAAGCCTATAAATGTCTTGCCAAAGTCAGCTGTTGGTTCAGAACTGATTTGCCCGACGTGTTCCAAGAAGTTGTGAAGTGTGAAGTATTTGCGATTACTGTCTGGCATGCATAGTTATATCTAATTATGAAATTTATAATATTCATTTACAAAAATTTAATCTAAAAGAAATATACAAAACAGAATTTTACACTAGTTTCAAATATTCTTGTAACAACTCTGCTTTAAAAATTTAATTTCATATTAAAAAAATATATTTTGATTCAAATATATGTATTTATAGTTATATAACAAATACATTCAATAAAAACATTAAGTATTGTGCAAATAACATGAAGTAAATCACAGGAGCTGAGAGGCCGATATAACCTATAACACAATAAATTTTGTTACCACTTTAGGGTTAATGAAATATTGTAGACCTGCTCATGAAAACAATACAAATTTTCTATCTCCATGAAATAATATAGAATTTCTCCCATCTTCTTTTCTTACCCCCTTGAAACAAAATTTAAGTGTTAGAGATTTTGCATTCTTGGCTATCCGGGATGAGCTGCATCGGTCAATTGTACTGATGTTTCGGCCATCTTGCTGTGGCCTTCTTCACAGCTATACTGCAGTATAGCACACCACAACTTACTTCTTTCAAACAATATAGTGTTTATGGTCGAGAGGAAGTATAAATAAACTCTTACCTAATAAATCATAAGCAATGTATAGAAATGTTTTGGGAATCTAAACATTCAGTTGATAAAATACAGTCATAGTTGGATACAGTAATTTAAAGCATTTTACAAGGGTCAATACTTGATCCTCTACTTAAACTATTATATGTGAATGATTTTCCCAAGGCTGTAGATCATGAATTACTAGATGACACTGCGGTTGCAAGCATTGCTATAGACTTAATTACACTAGATGAAAAAATGACAAAATCAATGGAACATACTTCTTTCTACTTTGACATGAATAATTTAATCTTAAATACTTAAAAACAAATGTATTGTATTTTTATAACTCTATTCTTGTTGAAGTAAAAAATGAAACTATGAAACAAATTGATTGCCATAAATTTCTTGCAATGTATATGTATAAAAGCCTAACTTTCAATGTATACATTTATGAAATGTGTAATAAAATAAGCTCTAATATCTTATTAACGTATTTTAGGAAACAATTGTGACAATTGATACACTCAAAGCAATATATTATGTGATAATACATCCATATATTGAATGTAGAATAGAAATATGAGGTAGTACAAGCATTCTGAACATGAACGCAATTATGATTCTACAAAAAAGAGCCCTTAGATGCATTTTCACACTAAAACCTAGACAGTCATGTAAAAACTACACCACACAACATAATGACTGCAATAGCCTTTTATGCGTTTAAAATCATTACTCTCTTCAGAAAGAAATCTTGCACACACTTTATTCATAATAGTGAATTGCATAATTATAGTACTAGAGGCAAAGAGGATATTTACATCTAGAGCCTCAATGAATAAAAGTGCCCAGCACAGAGTCATCTTGTTTTCAAATAAACTGCCTTAAATATTAAAGATGTATGTGAAGAAAAGAAATGCAATGACTTGTTGAAAAAGTATTTAATAGGAATGTGTCCTGTAAATTAAAAGAAGTAATGGAGTAGAAAATGTATTAGTATTATAATTTAGTTTGTATGTATGTGTCTAAGGTAATTATGTTTTTTCTTAGGCAATCATAATAAGTTAATACACAGTGACAATGCTTGAAACTTCAATGTATAAGTCTATTGGCAAAGAAAAACATTACTATTAATTTTATTATTATTGCACACACTTGTGGCTTGAGTTGTCAGGGTTTGTTGCTTTTATCTTAACATGGTATTTTCTGATTCCATAACAATTACTGATTAGCATTTTTGGCTTGATGAACAGTAAATAAGTTTATTTTCTTTCTAATATTATTCATAAGCAAATATATGTTGAGGATTCACAATTACAAGTTCAGTCTTTTGATTTGCAGAGGGTTAACTGCTATAATTGGCTAATTTCACCATAGATATTATTCAGAAAGTACCAATAAAACACTTGTAAATAGCATTGGTGTGTTTCTTATTATATCAATAATAAATAATTTCTTAAAAAAGTGTCTTAATATGTTTTGGTTTTACCGGTTGCTGACTCTGCAAGGGAAAGAGTCAACAATACATGGACCTCTGAAAAGATTGAAGTAAGCGTAGGAATTGTGAAAACTATCCTGTTTGACAAACTTAATTTATGTAATGCATGTTCCCAATTCTTAAACTATATTTGTAAGCAATACAAGTCTTAAAAATATACCTTCTTTGGAAAAATCGGACTTTGTATTCCAGGGTTAATTCATTGCTGTTGATATCGCTTAACTGGACTTCTTGTTTTCTGTCAAACAGGTAGCTTTCAAACAATATGATGCATTGCATCAAATATCTTAGCAAAATTCAAAATTATTGTTAAACAAGATTCATTTTTATGAATTACACAGTAGATTTGGTCTGTAACGAATTGCACCCTCAGTACTTTTACTTTTCTGGAAAGCAAATAGAAAATTATTTTTTTGTAGGTGTGAATTCAATCTTTTTTTTTTTTCTTGGAAAATTGGTTTGGCTTCCTCCCTATCCCCTGGGTTATATATTTGATTCACTTCCGATTTTTAAAAAAAATTATGCACCACCCGTCCATCATGCATTTATTAACAAAATATAAAAACAATGTTGGTTGGTTGGTGTGTACTTAATGCGCTGCCGTACCGTTCATCCGATTGCGATAAAACTTTCTCATCTTATTGTTTGCGGTTGTGGGAAGAATATAGGCATTGTACGATGGGAATGTGCATAAGACTGCGCACATAGACGCGCATTGATAATACTGACTCAAGTGCCTCTGAGCAGGGCATTGTACGCAATGATGCTCGACGCAACCCGTCACACCCTGAAGTACGAGTATTAAGAGCGACTTCTTTGGATATTCTGCCCTTGCGATTATGAAATGTGCCCAGGAGAGACAGAGAGGGAAGGAGAACGAGAGATGCGCACGGCGATGGTGTAACGGTTAGCGTATCGGACGGTTGTACCCAAGTTGGCGGCGATCGAAGCCGTGGATTTTTAAGGGCGAAAAAATCCTTCGCACGCCTTCCTTCAGAGGAGAAGTAAAGCCGTCTGCCCCATGTTAGTAGATTTACTTGCATGTAAAAGATCCTCAAGCCTAAATGACGCCTCTGAGCTAAATTCAAATAGCCTGTTTCTCGCCAAATACCTGCTTTCTTCGGTAGTTGGTGAAAGCAGCGTAGCGAAATTTGCGTGGTCAGACGGAAGAGCAGGCCGCATGGCCAGAGTTTCGCCACGTAAAATAAGGCATTAATCAATTCAGAGAGGTGGAGGGCGGAACAACGTCTCGCTAGTGAGCACTAAAAGATAATGGCTTAATTATATAATGTCCAGCAATTTTAATCAATAGGAATGTGATCAACCTCTCCAGGCTTTTAAGAATTTGTTATAATTGACAATAAATCTTCATATTGAGTTCTAAAATTAGTATCCATTGGAGTTCCGTCTAAAGCATCTTTGACTATTGTCGCGTGATGAAATTGTCGGCCATTTTTTGAACATGTTTTTACAAAGAATTCATTAAAATGATATACAATCGATTTATTAGTATGCAATATAGTATATCAATTATCAAACATATTTTGAATGAATAATTTCTCACATTTGTTTTATCCAAGTTTTCGTTTAGGAAATTCCACATTCGATTTAAGATTAGTTGCTGATTTAGCACCAATAGCTATGTTTTGTCAAATTTTTGTTTTGTCCAGGAGGAGTTGCAGCCTCCAATTGCTGTGTTTATTGGGCCAACAGTGAAGCAAGAAACATTATTTACTTCCGAAGATAAGGTAGGAATAACAGGTTACATTCGCATTTCGAAGTCTTTGATACTGTGTGATTTCTGGTCCATTCTCCTCACTGATTCCCAGTGCTCATACAATTGTGACTAGAAGACTATTGCCATGTGTAACGTTTCTAGAGCTTTTGCTTGTCTTAGGAAGAATCTAACAGCTCTATTTCGATCCTGCCAGTTCCATTTCGTAGTTAAGTGACATTCGCAGTTATTGTTATAGGCAAGCGCCTCATTGCAGAGAAAAGCATCCCATTTCATATTTTGTGGGGGTAGGCGCTCAGGATAGTGTAACGTTTCTCGGTTGGGAATTAATGCACACAGGTATTTAAAATTTTAACAAAAACGTTTATTCGTAAACAATTATACATTAAAACTACTTCAGCTCTACAGGTAGCTTACACAGTCCTTGTGTTCTTCACTTCCTTTTTCCTTACAAACGACTCCGTTCTCTTGATTATTTATTTACACTGTTCACTTCTACACTATCGCACAGTCCGTTACACGGTCCACTGCGCTGACCACAATTCACTGCGAGACCACACTTCAATGCGCAGACCTGAGTCCACTGCACTGCTGTTTACCGCGATGCACACTTCACAGCTCAACTTCCATTGAAGACTTCAAACTGCTGACTGCTGTTCACCCACTGCACCACTGTTCCCCGCAATACACACTTTACAGCTCAGCTTCCACTTCTGACACACTGACGGACTAACTGCTTACTACTTGACTACTTAGTTTACTGACTAGCAGCCGCTTACTGCCTGACTGAATCGCGGCCGCCGGCAGTGGCGAATTTATACCTGGTCGGCACCCGCCTCGAGCCATTGGGAACGTGTGCAACATTTCTACGCGACTCGCGAATTACCCGGAACCGTCCTGTTCGGGGGAGGGGAGGCGCCGGCAGATGACGCAGTCCGGGCAGCGAATTCCGGCAGTAGGGATTACCTGAAAACTGGGACACCAATGACGCAATGAAAAACGTCACCAAAGAACGTCACGATGACGTCATAGTTGTCCTAGGTCACTCCCCATGTAAATTTAATGGGGAGTGACCTACGCCATATGTCCCAGAACGCTCCGGAGAGTTCTAGGACTCTGCTAAAACGTCACAAAGGTCCCAGAACTCTCCAGAGAGTTCGGGGCACTAATGAGAACGTCACAAGTGTCCCAGAACTCTCCGCAATGTTATGAGAATGGGAGTAATCGACGTCATGACTGTCCTACAACGTCCACGCGCGCGATTGAATGCGGTTGTCTAAGAGCGCTCGATGACGTCACTGTGACGGGGAAGGTGCTGGCGTCACAATGGTACATCTGAGTGCTGACGTCATAGACAGCGCACACAACCGCGATGAGACTTGACGTATGAAAGACAAAATATGAGACCCGTAAATGACCGGGTTTTACTTTAAAATAATTGACCATGACATTGTTTCTTTCAATGAGAAAAAAACATTATACTCTTGAAAAAAACAATAAAGGAAAAAAGAGTAACATCCCTTCTTGGAGGTGTAGGGGGAATATGTACAAAATGTAATTAAAAACTAGTTTATTTACACACTTTTTACAAGTTATCTTTGAATACAGCGTACACAATGGCGTTTTGGGGGACGGTGGACCGTAGAATCTGCGATGACAGGAACACGAGAGAAGGGCTTGAAAGTCATCCCTAATCTGAGATGTAAAGGTAGTCGCTCCCAAACAGCATGTACCTGGTCGAAGGCCAACGTCAGATAGATGGCTGGAGGCAGCACGCAAAGCGTCTCATCATCCAGCGCTCGCAAGTCGCGAACCTGAACGTACCTCAGCTTTTTCGAAGCTTTTACAACAATCTGATAATGACATCATGATTTCAGTGTGACGTCGGCAATGTTGAAAACAGCACACACCTCGATGTCAGTCGTGAGTTGGACTGGCGCGGGCGTCTTTCGCTTGTTGGTAGCGTGAATGTCCGCATGCGCCAATAGGAGGCGAATAACATCGAGTTGAGTGTGACTTACAGCAATATGGAGAGACGTGTTGCCGTCGCTGTCCCTAGCGTTGATGTTTGCGCCAGCAGCGATGAGAACGGCACACATTGCCATATTGTGCTCGGCAGCAAGAGTGCAGTGAACCCGCCATGATCAACATCATTTAAGCCATCGCGAAGAATGTGTAGTAATTCGTTGGTATTGTAAGCTCTTGTTAGCGCAAGATTGAATGCCACGTAGTATGTACGGTCCAATGTAACAACCTCCATAATGGGAAGATTTCGAGTGCGTAGTCTCTCACGGACCAGTAAATTGGGAAGGATACGTTTCCAGTCCATGATGTCGGCGCATAGTTGTGCCGAGCTCAAACGAATGATATGAATATATAGAGTAGCAAGAGCTCAGACATTGCACTTTTGACTACTTATCAATCAGCCAGAGTCAGAGAGAGGAGCACTTGTTTTCCCACAAGCAGGAGGCGTGCAAAAAGAGAGAGATTAAGCCGGGTTGGTCGGCTCCATTTCATCTTATGTGGGGTATATTTTCTTGGGGAGACGGGAGAGGCTGAATAGCCCGGCGGATGACGTGAACACGCTCACGCAACATTGCACCATAAGAATCCGGGAGAAGATGGCCGAGCGTCTACATAACAACTAAGACATGCAAATGTAAGTCGTCGACGAGGTCAGAAATATTGTGGAGAAGACCCCCCACTGTACTTGTTGAGATGATCTTCGTGAACGAGTCGAGCACTGAGAGCCAAGTGTGTCGATAGCAAGGTGATGTCCTTCCAAAGGTTATTGTCTTCGGCGTCGCCGCCGTTCCTCAGCGCTACCTCTTCCTAGGAGTTGACGGCAACGGTGAAGGCGGCTGCTGCATTCGCGAGATTGTTCCACATGTGATCTGCCTCCTGGCGCCACCCGGCAACATTACTTTCATCCACGTGACGTACGTCCATGGCGACGGTCCAATGGTAAATGTCATTGAAGAAATGCTCTCCCTCCCTCTCTCTCTCTCTCGCCCCCACCACTCTTCTAAGTAATAAATACGAATAAAAAACCATGCCTACGGGGTCGATTGTATATACTGGTGTCTCTTTCTCTCTCCCCGCAATACGGTTTGGACGGACGCGTACACATGATGCGGAAGTGATCCCACAGAAAACTCTTAAACCTATTAAGCCAATAACGCTTGTCAACGGAATCCTAACGAGCGTTTATTTTAAAAAAATGTATAAACTACATGGGATTTGGACCGAATACTAGCATGCGTGTCAATTCTATGTTTATTCCGAAATAAGCAGTCCAAATACGTTTCAAATTTATATCTTTTGACAATCGAACGCTGCACTCCCTTCGCTCGAGAAACAGGATTGGGAAAGTGCGAATGGAGTAGATTTTCGGACGCAAACCTACGAATCCTTCGAAGGGGTAATTTCCACATTCGTCCTTGAATAATCCGAGTACCTTTTTATTTTGCGGTACCACTCTATACTGATTATCGAATGAAATGATGTGTCGAACCAACATGAATACCGATTCATTTCAGCGTAAGCGTCTGAGCTAGTAGAAAGAATGAAACTATCGGTATCCATGTAGTGTAGGCGAAGCTCGCGAAGATGTTTTTTACAAAAATATAATAGGAATTTAGAATGTTCCAAAATACAAAACCCCAAATAGATGGGCTTCGAGAGTTTCACCTCAACTTTGCGCAACTCGATGGTCATTGGGTCCCCTTTCACGTGATGGCTAGATAATAAAGCGGGGTTCGCAATAAGGCGGCGGGCTTCACACCTTCCATCCCACTTATTGACATGATAAATGCGGCGATTTCTCACATCCTCCAAGGACTTTCCATAAATGGAATTATCAATTTATAAAATTTATCCTCGAAATCGGAGGTTGCGAGACGTCGCCGGTTATTATTGAGGTCCATGTACGCGACAAGCCAAGGTCGAAAGAAAGGACACGGTGAATTTTTGAAAGTTGTACACCAAACTCCATGCCCTGAAGTAAATTTTGAATGTGAATAATGTAGCGACGCTTGGGCATAGCGTGACCATCAATTTGACTTGTCTGCTGTTCGAGTCGGGAGGTATGCAAGTCTCTGGGCACGGCGGCAGATCACTCATAAAGTCGTGAACGTGATCAAGGCGGTAATTATACCGAATAGGAGGATTTATTTCATTAATAAAAAAGGTTGTTTACAAATATGGCAAATGTTGGCAGCTTGAAAAGCTATCTCATCCGCCTCCGTCATGATGCTGGGAATCGGATGATTCAGCAGGTATTCATACTCTTTGGCAAGTGATTCTAAAATTTCTAAATGTTTTGTAATAGCATCGGGACCAAGATGTGAGATGTACCGCGAGCGCGTATCAAAGTCGCATGCAACCTTTATACCGACAGCAAAAGGTTCATGTAATTGATAGGGCTGAAGGGAGGGTTGGCTCGGCCGTGGTCGACACGAAGAAACGGCGTGTCAAACATTCAAAGTCAACCGCAACCAAAGTACACCGCAATCGGGCATCCGCAATTTGATGGAAAGGAATACGGCAACTAGTAAGAAAATTCGTTTATTCAAAGACTACAACATCCGTCCATTGGGGAACATTTGCGATGACACAATCAACGTGACTGGTCTTGTTGCATGAGTGGTATAGAGAATATTATTCTTAAAAGGAAAAAAATGTTAAACATTGTACTGTTTCGATACAATGACACACACATGAGGGTGTTTCGACACACTGTGTAGAACGGTTTCGTACGAGGAGAGAAAGCGAGAGATACCGCGACCCTCTACTCGTCCTGCTTTTTCACAGCAATCGAAACAATTTATAAAAAGATTGCCCTGGTAAAGTAAGTGTTGACCCACTGTGTTGAGTTTCCAGAACATCAAGAGTTTCACAGAGATTCAATTTTTAAAAAGTCTCCTAAAAGGAAGTTTCGATCCATTGTGTGAGTATGTGTGTATGCGCGCGTAATATAAATTGTTGTATAACTCACCAATAAAGACAAAGGAAAAAAACTTTTGTTGAATACGAAAAACAAAACGACTTGGTAGGTGTGCTTTACTTCCACTATCACGTTGTGTTACGGGGATGTCAGCAGATGTCCGTGGACTGTGAAGCATTAGATGCCTCTCACGCCATATATGGGAGCGGGATTTAATGAACACACTTTTCTTTTTTCGCAGCATGGATAATGAACTCCTGATCTGTTGGTCCCACGCTGCTGCCCAAAGAAATATAGTTTGCGTGTGAGCGGAGTGTCAGCTAGACAGCGGATGACAGCTAGTGCTCTGAGGCTGTGCACTTATCGCTCCCCTCCTCATCGTCTTTGGAAAGATTATTTAGCGCGAGCTAATAAAGCAATAAAATAAAGCCCTCCGTCACCACGTAACAGCGTGAACGATTCCTCAAAACGTATGTCACAAGACCCGTTCATACTATACCGAATATCATACCGAAGCAATGCAAACTGACAAAAAACCTACCTCTCTTATCTGTGATGCCCACACAAAAAATATATACGCCAATATCGGCGTAAACACGTCTTTTCCCAAATCTTTTCCCCCCAAAAAGAAGGAAAAACTTTTCATCACCGTGGTCTTCCCAAAAAAAGAGAACTGCGTGAGGAAGCTAAAGAAGACGAAGAGTCACAACAAGCTGAATAGGATAGCATATGGAGAGAAAGATTGCTAGCTGCATGGGAGAAGAAAAGTGATACAGCTTACGGTCCTAATTTCATTTACAATATACTTAATGTTGGTAACAAAGAGATGTATATAAACGATGACGGTATATTTACTATAGCACACCAGGTCTTTGATCCTACGCAGTGTCTTTTCGAGTTCCTTTTTGAAAAGAAACCCAACATTCCGCCAGACGATGTGGCCAATTATAAACAAATTAAATGATACGTCAGCACAAAACGTACTATAAGCCTGGTGCACAATACGACACGACAAATAAAAATGGAAGTATAGTTTGATTATTGCATAACTGTTTCCGAGCAGAAGAAACCCAAAACGTCAATTAAACAAAAAATCTCAAATCAGGGAGAGGTCTGCGTTTCGAGACTGCGCCCGACGGACCCGAAATTTTGGCGTGACCCCAACACACTTGTTGACAAACTACGCTTGCTACAAACCTCCAAAGCCGCCGGTAACAATGGTCACGATGGTGAAATAGTAGAAATAGAGCACGAACTCCGCTCTGCTGGTTTTATCATCTAGTCATCGTCACCATGCGGAGGAAAAAGAAGCAACAGTAGGAGGATAGAAAGCCGCCACCACCCGTCAACAAAGTGTCACCTGTGCGTCTAGGTATAGCGAAAGAACTACAAGCGCCCTCGACATGCAGCATTATGCGACGGTCAATCGAGATATGCGGTACATCGTAACGATAATGTTGTGTATTCCAAGTTCGCGTGGGCCGAACCCCTCAAAAAGAAGACCGGTGATGAAGTTGTGTAAGGCTTTGAGCGCATCTTGGCATCCACCGGCCGTCGGCAACACACTCTTACAAACAGATGATGCTACAGAATTTTACAATAGCACTTTCAAGAAATGGTTGCCTGCACAATCTATTCACCATTATTCCACTTGTTCCAACTTGTCATCGAGCATTTCAATCGGACACTGAAAGAGGGCATGTGGCGGCGCTTCTCCGCCGAAGGTACCCGCCGATGGAACCTCATGCCCCTGGTCCTGCTTCACGATTACAATAACACACTGCATAGAACAACGGGTATGAAACCGAAAGACGCAAAGGACAAGTTACTGCGCACTGTCAACGCCAAAGTACAGAGGTCGACATGCATCAATTGACGCGTCGCTTCCGTGTTGGGCACATTGTTCGTGTGAGCACGCACAAGAGCTCACCGTTTTCGAAAGTATTGAAGCGCGCTGCGGGGCACGAACTCATTCAAAATTGCTGCACCTAGAGAGCGGTGTAGCAAATTGCGAGGTCAGCACCTGCCCTCCTGTTCACTATGACGTCATTCAAAACGTTTCTTACAGACAAACCACATTCAAAACTCGCGCGCGGAGCGTTAAGTTTACTGTGGACTAGCCATGACTGTCGATATCATCCTAATTAACATTGGGAAAACCTTTGACGTCATTGTGACGTTACTTATCAGTCGTCCCAGAACTCTCGAGAGGTCTGGGACATTACCTAGGTCACTCCCTATTAACTTTACATAAGGGAGAGCTCTGGGACAACTATGACGTCATCGTGGCGTGGCTTGGTGACTTATGACGTCAAGTTGCCCCAGTTCTCTCCGATTATCCTTAATGACCGTAGCAGTTTGCACGAGCGTAATATATTCCACTGATGCCGACAGGGATTGTACGCTTACGAGAAATCCATTCCCGATTTTGAAAAGAGCCTCCAAACCCTTTTGATTACGGAGCTCTCTGTGTTAGATATACGATGCTCTACTACTCAGTGCATACGATTTCACAAATGCAAAGGAGCAAATACTCTTTTTCGTGGATGCCTTTTCTAAATTTCGGAAGGGTGTCAACATTAGTATTTCTTTGAGACAATGTCACGAATGAAAAAAATTCGATTCTGCTACCAAAGTGACAAAGAAGGGATAGTTTACTTGCAACAATTCCCTTTATATCAGTATTACTAGTGGTGAAATAAATTTTAGATTTACAATGTAAATTTGAATCTATTTAAATTGTTATTTTGCATTTTTCATGCATTTTTGGACTCTACCTCAATGCAGAGTTAATGCATATTTTAGATAAAATAAATTCATAAATATCCGGAATTAATATATAAATAATTTTTAATAAATATAAACAGGTACAGGAGAATGTAATTTTTAAATGTCTTTTAGGATTGAAAATTTCTAGAAGACAAAACCATGTGGGATTATTTTTAAGTTTCACCGTAGAAAATTCACTAAATATCAATTATTGTATTTATGAAACGAACAATTCACATTATTTATCCGACCTGAATGAAAACCAAGAATCTCCTTCCAATTCTAATTTAAGATCCAGGGCTGCAAAACATAGGACAACATGGATTACAGGAATTTTTCAAAATTACATTTTCCCTCCCAAAGGAAGTTAAAAATTTTCAATCAATATTTTACTCCATTAAGAGATTGTATATATTTTTTATTTCTGTAGGATCCTCTTGCATCCTGCTGTGATGGTGCTTCTGTTGCTACAATTAAACAAGAGATCACAGCATGTTCCCCAGGTAAATGAGTGATATATTTTTAATTATTTCATGAACCTAAGGTACAAACTATTGGAGTGGTGAGTACAGTACTTGGTAAACATTGTCTGAGCTGTTAAGAAAACAATGTGGCAAGATCCCCTTTCTCTTTAAAAAGACAGCCGTCTCTGAGGCTCTGCAGACCCTCAAAAGCAAACGCTAACTCCTTCACCGGTAAGCGGATCCGATGGTGCCTCTGAAGCACTGAAGTGCGCAAATGCCCATCGGAATTACAAATTCTGTACTTTTTAGAAGAAGATAAGGATCACGTTCTTCATATTGTGATAGTGCATAAAATTCATTAAAAATAGCCTGTCAGTATTAAAAAATTTACTTTCTACAACTTTTTACAACTTATGGTGATAAATTTAATCAAAATCGATGGCGCCATTTTCTTAAAAATTTTGAAAATGTCGCTAAGGCTTCATGAAAAGTACCGCCGAAAATTGAAATATCGCTTTGAAATTCAAGGGGCCGCGACATCAGCCAAACCGATCGGAGAATATCACTTTGGGAGAAAATAAGCTGAACGGCTTAGCCGCTAGCATTGTTCACAGACAGACGTTTGCTATCAATCGGTTTTTCAGTATCAAGGGGAATTTCACAAAACGGGGATTTTGGCTACACCACGTTTTAGAGGATCCCCCATCTAAATTTAGCAACTGGATTAATTTATTTTTTCGTTATTGGTCTTAATAATAAGAGTTTTGCCGAGAAAATTCGACATTTTTCGCGCAGCGTGATGTAACTTTTTCTATAGGGAGAAAGTAAAAAATTAGAATAGAGCATTGTGATGTATGAAACTGAATTTTTTAGAGTTTCTTATATTAATGTTCGAGTTGCTACGCAATAATTCTGGGAAACAACGAAACTATGCAAAATTAAACATTTCGTTTGTTTATTGTGCACCCAAACGTAAGTACCCTAGCGAAACTTAAAGTCCAAAACACAGCGAAGAAATCTATAGACTAACAAATCTGCTTCTGAAACGAAACTTTACCGGTGCCGGAAATTTAATTTCGTTCTTTTGTTATATTATCACGGTAGTGTGGTTTCTAAACAGGTATTTTATTCAACGTTCAGTTTCGTTATTTACAATTCATGTCACAAAAAGACTTAGCTTGTGTAATGATGAAGTTGTTTAAATGAAAGATTTGATTTTCGCAATTGAACCATGGCCTAGCAGTGGGCTCAGACTAGTGAAGCATCTGTTTGTTTCTCCTCTAATGTATTAATAAGTTTTTTTAATATTGCAAATTGAATACAATGTTGTTTCTTAAACCTTGACTTACGTTAGTTATGCGATTGGTTATAAATTCAATTAAGAAATTTTAGAATGTTACACATGACGTTCACAGAATTTTACATACACATCCTTGCAATTTTAGAATTTTATCTCTCTTGCACAACTGTGAGATTCGGTTCTTTTTTGAAAATTAATTCGAGGAGGCCGGGGCGCGCTT